ACAAAAGCTTGCCAGCTGTCTACACTGGCTGCTTGAATTTGCACAAGAGCACTGATGTTCTAATATAAGAATTCAGTGCTTCTTGCGCAAATAGTTTGACGCTGCCGCTCAGGGATAAGCCCTCTTGCGCAATAATACTTGCACAAGAAGGCCAGTGTAGACAGGCACCTTAATTTTTTGTGCAAGAAAGCCATTTTAGCCATCGGGCTATCGGAGCTTTCTTGCGCAAAAGCACGTCTATACTGGGCACGGATGCTTTTGTGTAAAAGCACTTTTTGCGCAAAAGCATCCGTGCCAATCTAGATGCTCTTTTGCGGAAATACTTTTAATGGAAAAACTTTTCCGTTAAAAGTATTTCCGCAAAATCATGCCAGTCTAGACGCAGCCAAGGTGTTTTTAAAAGTGAAAGTGAAACTGAAACAGAGACTAGAGGTGATGGAGGGAAACCATAATACTGTCAGCAAACCATAATACTATCAGCATGTCATTCCAAGCAGTCTCTCCTCCTTGGTCACTGTATGTGACTGACTCTGCTTCTCTAGGCCGTAAACATCACTCCTCTCCCAGCTGGAAATGAAATCCAGAAGTCCTGACTTCCAGCCATTTGCTCTAACTGGAGCCCCTGCTTTACTATTAAGATGAAGATTCCAGCTGGATTATCTGTTTGCTGTAACATTTGTATCAAATCATGCTGAAATTCTGCTCTTAAAAGTAACTGTAAATTTGGCCCATAGATCTACTCCTCTAGCATTCACCAGTCAGAGCTTCTGATGCTAGGGTCTTGCTGGATGTTTCCTGTTAGGGGGAGGAATTGCTGCTCTGAGGCATAGCTATTTTCGAAGTGGTGTGTGTGCCTGGACACCATGGAACAAACAGCAAAAGGGAGGTGCTTTGCTCAGAAACCTCCTCCCCCCATGTCTGCCCTTCCATCCAGCAAGATCTGTGCCCAGGAAGCACCACCTTTCTGCTTCCTCCCATGATCACACCCAAAACTCTTTGCCTCCTTCCCCCCCAACACTGCTGGCCCCCCATCTCCTAGCACCTGCATTGTAGTCAGGAGTTCCTTTAATTCACATGATTCAACTCTGACCTGCCACATGGTCTGCGGCGTCTTGGGCAGTCACCTCTATTGTCTCTAGCAGTTTCACACGTAAAGGGGCTTGATCGCTCCTTCTGTTGAGCATTACTAAACTTGGCTACCCATTGACTTCAAGGAGATGAGACAGTCTTTGGATCCCAGGCCCATCCTAATAGTTAGTATTAGCACTATCCACTGTAATAAAGCCACTCGGTTCTTGCTCCTGTTAGCCTTGTGAAGTCAGCACAGCTGGGTGTGTGAGAGACGAATTCTACAACCACGGAACAGGTTTGTTTGCCAAGGCCTAGACCTTCAATAGGATTTGGGCCCATAAATCCCTCTGGGAATCTGGGCCTCAGGACTTGTCTGCATGGAGGATTTATTTCGGAGTAAGTTAGGACGTCTATAGAAATCAGTATCCCACAAAAGCTGGCCACGTGGACACTCGGATTCTGCGATAGCTTTTCCTGTCCATTTCCCCACGCAGACAAGCCCTTAGCTGCAATCTTTGCGTAGAAATCACTGGACAACAGGCTGCCAGAGAAGTCACTAACAGTGTGATCCGAAGACAACAGCACTGCAGATTTTTAAATAATGATGGGATCTTCTCTAGTTCACTCAGGAATTACTCTGGGGCAGGCCTCTGACCTGTGTTATGCAGATGATCACAACAGCCCCCACTGCCTTTGAAATGGATGAACCCTCAAGGATCTGCATTCCTGGTGAAGAGATGCAGACTAACCCAGCTTGACTCTCATGGTTCGGTTATTATGTCAGAAAAAGCTAGCTGGCACTGCCAACTGTGGCAATAAATGCAGAACCCCTCAAGGGCAGCTTTAGTCTTGCAGATCTGAATCTAAGGGAGAAAACACACTAAGCAGGAGATTCACTAGCAGTTAGCTTGACTGCATTTCCCGGTCTGGATCACTCTCCCTCCCTCCACTACACTCAACACTGGAGTTCCCTTGCCTCATTGATTTTCTACTAGGAGTCAGGAGTCCTGAGTCTTATTCCTGCCTTTGAAAGGGTAGTGTGATCTAGCGGTTAATGCAACACATGTCCTGAGAGTCAGGACTCTTGGGTTCTACCCCTAGTCCTGGGAGCGAGTATAGTGGTTTGCAGGACAAAAGCAGCCAAGGCTTGTGGCTCTGTCAGTCAATCCCCACGAGTGTAAGGATTACATGCCACCATTCCATGCCTCAGTTTCCCCATGAAGGCAACTGGGGTGTTTTGTGAAGCTAAATAAATGATTGAAAGGCATTTCAGAGCCTTGCAAGTAAGGGGTTATTAAAGAGCCAACTATCATTACATTAATCTCATTGCGTGGTGTGAGTCACTGAGGTGCAGTCTCAGGAGTGCCACAGCAGCTGAACTAGACAGACATTTTACAGCTCACTAGATCCATAGTTCATTTAATTAACAAAAACTGTATTGCAGGAAGAAAAAAAAAAAGTTACATTCGTTCCAGAGCACAGCATGTTAACATCGCCTCTGAATTGCAGAGGAACAGTATTCTAAATTCCTATGCTGGGCAGAATTGGATTTCTATACAATTTAGTTGGAAAATATTGATGCTTATTTTAAAGCATTATTTTCAAATTTTTATCAAATGTAAGTTTTTACCATGAGAAATTATAGGGAGGTCAGACAGTTACTTAATATCAGTAGACACTGAGATTGAGAAAGTAAAAAAAAACTGGATGAAAACACTATCACCATTACATGTCAACATAAACAAAGGCAATACCCTTAAGTTCTTGGTCACCAACCCATCGACACAGCCAGTCGATTGCGAGGTGTTCCCAGCCCCCTCATTCCCCCCCACCCCCAAGAGGGAGCTCACGCTGGAACTACAACCTCCTGAGAAAATGGAGGTAGAGCTGGCTTCCTGCAGCATGCGGAGGTGGGAGGGGTCCCACGGCTGCACGCCAGATCCAGCGTCTCAGGAAGCACATGCGCTGCTCCTCCCCTCCCCACAACAGTGGGCGCACTTCCTGAGACACTGGCTCTGGTGTGCAGCCGCGGGACTTCCTCTCCTGTGTTGCCTGCCTATCTTCCTTCCTTCCTGCGGCGGGGGGGAAGAAGCCCCACAGTCATATCCGACTTCTCAGGAACTGTTCCCCGCTGCAGGAAGGCAGCATGGGGAAGGAAGTCCTGTGGCTGCGCACCAGATCCAACTTCTCAGGGAGTGCACCAGCTGTTTTGGGGAGGGGAGGAGCAGCATGCATGCTTCTTGAGATGCTGGATCTGGTGCGCAGCTCGGGACCCCCAGGTACTGGCTGGGGTCCCACAGTCATATCCGACTTCTCAGGAACTGTTCCCCGCTGCAGGAAGGCAGCATGGGGAAGGAAGTCCTGTGGCTGCGCACCAGATCCAACTTCTCAGGGAGTGCACCAGCTGTTTTGGGGAGGGGAGGAGCAGCATGCATGCTTCTTGAGATGCTGGATCTGGTGCGCAGCTCGGGACCCCCAGGTACTGGCTGGGGTATCCCTGTTCCCTCCCTTTGGCCAGGCCCCCACTGGCACCCGGCCCCCCATCCAGGCCCCCACC